CGGAACCCATCCTACATGCAAAATTTCGAGAAGATTGGTCCATAACTGTGGCCTGTATCGTGTTTACAAATTATAATGGACAGACGGAAACATATGTCTAGATCAACTCAGCTAGTCGAGATATGACGATCGGTATACTTAAAGGTGGGTCTAGGACCAATATTTCGCAGCGTTACAAACTTTTGGGGCTGCACAAATCTATAATATCCTGACAACATAGTTGTGAAGGGTATAAATAGTTGTATATGGTGATACTGTTTCACATAAAAATGTTTATATGTTTGTGAAGATGCGATAGCCAGACTTCGAAGTTTTTATTTGACACCAATTTTATTACAATACCACAAGTAGTTCAAAAGTTATGAAATAAAAACTAGATCATATATTTATATATTTTTTTTTCACTTTCGCCTCTTCAATCAACTGCATCAATAGATGGCGTTGCGGTTGCCAAATTGTCAAGTGGCACGAACATCAAGGCATTAATAACATTTAAATAGCTTTTAAACGAATTGAAGCTTAGAACTCTCTGACTCATTTAAAATTCAGATCATAAGCAGGTACATTTTGCTAAAAAATAATGTCAAGAATTATTGGAAAGTTTCTATACAATTTTCTAAGACTAACTACATTTTATATCGAAAGCGAACCTCTTGAAGTTTTAAATAATTGTTGGATTTTTTTTTCGAAATATCTCAAGCCATTTTAAAGTTATTTGAATTTTACCATTATCCTGATTTTCCGTTACGACCAGTCAATTTTGAGACTGGGACGCCATATATTGATGCAGTAGATCGAAATGTCGAACTATTATAAAACCTTACAAAAATACGTATTTGAAATAAAATTTATTGATACTACAATAAAGACAAAGAGCGATTTGTGATGCCGAATATTACGATTTGCATAGTTTTGATCAAAGACAATTCTAAAGAAAAAAGGTAAAAATGTCAGTTGCTGTTGCCAAACATTTGGGGGATGTCTACGGAATTTATTCGCTTTTATATGTCTTTTTAAAAAGTTGGCCATCATTGGAGAGTTTCAGACGGAGTGAACCGATTTCACCATCTTCGAACTTGATTTCAGTTTGAAAGAAATATCACTATGTGCAAGTTTTATAGTTGTGTTGTCTGTAAAATTATAATTTGGATTCTCATTTTTGGATGCCAAAAAATTTGAGTATTATTTTTCAACCGAATTGGCTCTATATTGATATTTGGGGTTCTGATTGGTTGTTCACGTGTTTTTGGTATAGCCCACATTGAACCCCAAATTGTTGGTTTTTAGGGATTCAGACACGATTTCAACCAAATTGCCTGGGCTTATGGAATTTTGGTTCTCATTGGGTGTCAAATCTTTTTTTTTACTAAAAATTATCAATATCGGTCCACGATTAGGAATAGTCGACATATGATGATCATCTAATAATACCCTACACAGGGTAAGGGTATTATAGCTTTGCGCAGCCCCAAGAATTTGTCATATCTCGACTAGCTGAGCCGATCCTGTGTGTCCGTCCATCCATCTGCCCATTATAATTTATAAACACAATACCAACCACATTTATGGACGAATCACCACAAAATTTTGCATGTAGGGTTCTGACAAAATAAACCCTATTGTTTTTGGTAACGATCGATTAGAAATGGATCAAAAACTTTAATTTTATTGGGTTTTCAGGTCGCTCTAAATGCAAGAATTATGGACAGTACAAAAATTTACACCAGGAAGGGAATCTGGCCAAAGAATAAGCATGTCTATTTTGATAAAGATCGGTCAATATTTAGCGGGTTTCTAGCTTTTGTGCGCAAAATTACAAATATTGTATTCTATGACGTATATAATTACTCCTGAAGGTCATAGACCCGAGATATTCATACTATATCCAAGAGGAGTTTTTGGCCTTTAAATTGATACCAAATAGGTTGTTGTGGGTTTTATACGTAAATATTTATTATATTATTTAGTATTACCATTACCACACTAGAGGGCGCAAATCTTGCGCTGATCGCTTTGAAATTTAACATGAAGTTCCGGTTATTGTCAAGGACGACGCCTATAATATTCAGTAACTTTGAAATGACATTTAAGGGGTGCAATGAACCGATTTTCAGATTTCCTAGAGACCAAATACATAGAACGGCTCGGAATATTGACCGATCATCATCTAAACGGTCAATATTCCGAGGGTCAAATCAACAAAAACCTAAAGTTACCAAATTTTTATTTTATGACGTAGATATTCACCTCGGGAAAACAAGATTTAGAAAATACGCCAGGGTTAGAAAGTGGAGCTATTGACCTATAATCGGGCAAGATGTAGCAAATATCGCGAAATAATGCAGTTTCACATAGATCATTAGCATAACGAATGACCTTAATTTTGGTATACATAGGGTCCAAGTCTAATTTCCCAACATATGTGTAATTTGGTATTTCGAGTCCTCCTCGCAGCAATTTATCATGACATAGCCCTCATATAAAAGTACCGCTTGATTTTAACTGTTTATACCCTTCACCACACTGTGGTACAGGGTATTATGTCTTTGTGCATATGTTTGTAACAGGCAAAAGGAAACGAGATAGACTCATGGTTCCTTTTGAGAATATGCATAGAATTGGATGAAATTTGGCATAGGTCACTTATTCGGCCCAAGGACGAACCCTATTGAAATTGGGAAAAATCGGTTCAGATTTAGATATAGCTCCCATATATATATTTAACCGATTTAATGTAAACAGTCCATATATATCTTTCGATTTGCACGAACTTTGGTACAGCCTAATCATTTAGGTCTAGAATTATGTCTGCCAAGTTTCGTGAAAATCGGTCCAGATTTAGATATAGCTTCCATATATAGTTTCGTCCGATTTCATGTAAATGGTGCACCAAAGTCCCTATATATCTTTCGATTTGCACGAAATTTGGCATAACGTACTGAATTAAGCCTAGAGAGATGTCTGCCAAGTTTCAAAAATCGGTCAAATATAGCTCCCATATATAGTTTCGTCCGATTTCATGTAAATGGTGCAAATTTATTATTTGCACGAAATTTGGCATAACGTACTGAATTAAGCCTAGAGTGATGTCTGCCAAGTTTCCTCTCCCATATATAGTTTCGTCCAATTTCATGTAAATGGTGCACCAAAGTCGCTATATATCTTTCGATTTGCACGAAATTTGGCATAACGTACTGAATTAGGTCCAGAATGATGTGTGTTAAATTTCCTGAAAATCGGTTCAGGTTTAGATATAGCTCCCATACATATTTTCGTCCGATTTTAGGTAAATATTGCACCAAAGTCCCTATATATCGTTATTTGCACGAAATTTGGCATAGCGTACGGAATTAAGTCTAGAACGATGTGTGTAAAATTTCGTGAAAATAAGATTTAGATATAGCTCCCATATATATTTTCGTTTTAGGTAAATAGTGCATCAATGTCCCTATATATCTTTCGATTCGAACGAAATTTCGCATAGCATACTGAATAAGACCTGTTAATTTTGGTATATATAGCTCCCATATATATTTTCGTCCGATTTTGGATTTATAAGTAAATTTGGATTTATAAGAAAATAAAGAACTCAAAATGTGGCCCAAAAACCATATGAAATAAGTGTAACCTATATTTCGATATTTCGCTTTAAATTTATTTACATTATTTTGTCCCATCGTAATGACCAAAATTTAGTATAGGTTGCAAATTGTTTAATTTCATGTTAATGGTTCTTCAATAATGCGACGTCTGTTAGGATTCATCTGTTTAATATACCCACAGTGGTGAAGGGTATCATATAGTCGGCCCCGCTTGATTTTAACTGTTTTTAATATCCATTTTATGTTGCAGGATATGAAAAGTTCGACCGGGCCGTACTTGACGACGTTTTTAATAGTCTTTGTTTTCTTCCTAGTATCATTAGCATTTGAAATGGGTCTACAGACTCAATTTTATATTTTGGGTATTCCGATTTTCTGTTTTTAATCCCAGTATTTTAAATTTGTATATAGAGAAAAAAATCAACACATTTCAATTATTCCCAATAATTATTTTATTTTCAAAGCTTAAATATTACGAAAAAAAAAGAGTTTGTATAGATATATTTAATATGTAAGCACGTAAATATGTACGTTTATGTGTACTATTATATATTTATAGTAGATCATAGAAAATACCCTTAAATATTGAATACTTAAAGTTGTTGTTTTTAGTTTTTTTGATTATGAATTTTATGTATGTGTGGGTATGTAGGTGAATAAGTATATTATATGCCGATTTCGATTCGATAACTATAAATTAATATAAGATATATTTATGTTATATATGTATGTATATAAGACAATAGTAATATAATAAATGATATATGTATAGACTATGCTTAGAATAACTATAAAAAATCAGTTTTAAGTTTACTTCAAAAACATTTTTTTTTTTTTGATATCAGAATAAATTCAGCAGATTGTTTTTTTAATTTTAATTTAACTATGGAAACAGCTAACCAACAATTCGTGTTTTTCTTTGGACGAATTTTCCAAACAAGTATGATTACAAGTAACATTAAATTTTTACTGAAAGTTGGGAAAGGGTTGGGGGTGCTATTTCCAGAAGTCTTTTATTTTGCAGTGATAGATTTTTTTGTTTGTGGTGGGTTCAGCAGCATTCAGCGGGTTCTCCCTAACCACAAATCATGTTGAGTTCTTTGTTATTCCAATGCTGTCTGTGTTCTCTGCTCTTCTTCTCAAAATCTTGACTTAGTTCTGTGGATTCTTTCCTAAATATCCTTAACTACGTAATTTTTTAAGCGAATTTAACAAAAACCGGGGGTTTATTTTCCTCAATAACAATTTTATTGTTATGGACTTGGTTTGCTCTCTACGAGATAAGGGTTTCATCTCTGTGTGATCAGATTTATTTTCTTTTTAGTTTAACTTTGGCCATTTAATACCACCACTCTTCCTGGGGTAGAGAGGAAGGAAGCGATTTATTTTTCGGTTTATTTACTGATGGGTACATTTATTGTCCTTGGACTTCTTTTTACGATCTTCACTTGAATTTGATCGTCGCGTACCTTGAATTGGCATGTAAGGTGGTGTGGGGCTTGAGTTCTTTTGATCTGTAAATGAGAAGAAATTAAGGTTAGTTTAATTTTTTGGACCACGGGGTGGGAATAATTATACATATATACCGAAGGATTGTGTTTTCGATGTGGAGCTGTGTCGTGAGTTAACCGAGTCATGTGAGTGTATGGAAAAGTTTTCCGATCTGAAAAGAAAGAGAGGAAAATATAACGATTAATAAAAATAAATAACAAGTAAAAATATAATTATGTTCGAACCGACCGAACATTTTATACCCTCCACCAAGAGCTGGACATTCAAATACTTTAAATCTATCGTTTTTTTTTTTTTCTTGGTAACTATACCATGAAAAATTCCGGCCAGGAAAAAATGAAATACCAAATGTCCCACTTACCTAGTCATTGAATTCTGTGAATAACCACCAGTGTGTATCCCACCATTCGTAGGAATTGTTTCCGCACACACATTCATTGAGGCTGGTCGCAAACTCGCACTACTCGTGGTTGGTGGTGTTGGTCCAGGACGGCAACTATCCACAGGCAGTGTATAAATATCATCATCCTTAGCCAAACTGGCATGTCGTGCCTGTTGACTGACAATATCACGTTGAAGGCTACCATTTGTCAGGCAACCGTTTTGTGTGCGTTGTGTGTGTTTGAGCACATCGATGGGACTGGAATAGGCTTCCAAATCGAGAGGATCTTCTTCATCTTGTTGATGGTGATATTGTTGCAGTTGTTGTTGGCTATTGTCAATTGAGGACATGTGACTGTGTCGGGCCGAACTACTACTGGTCGATGTCTGCATACCACCATCGTCGGGATATGGATAATGACCAACACCATTGTGTGTTAAGCCTTTGGCTATTTGATGGGGTTCCTTACCCTGTTGACTTTTACGTTGCCTGGCCTTCTCTTTGGCACGTTTGGCTTTGGCTTTTTCCTGTAGAAGATGAAGAGGACACAATTGTTAGTTTGTTGTATTAAAAATGAGGAACTACTGTCTACAGGTTTATTGTACGCAATACACAAGTTATAATCAGGACTGCGGATTCTGGTTGTCCGCCAATTTGGGCGCCCTTTGATATGAAAAATGTTAGAATAGAATAAAAAACTACTTAAAATAAACTATTCAGAAAAATGAACGATCGGTACTAGGTCAGGTTCTTTCGTTCATTTAGTTGCTTTTGGATCCAATCCTTTGAGAAAATGGAGCGATCAGTACTAGGTCCAGTTCTTTCGTTCATCTAATTTTCTTAAATTCAGCCATTCATTTTTGATCTGCACACCTAGTTACATTTGATCTTATCGTTCATGTAGGTCCTACCGTTCATTGTCCGAATATACTGAGTGTACTATTACATTAAAAGAAACCATGGAAAGGAATGAACTAGTTCCTGCTCTCCTTCACCTAGCTGAAGTTGACCCAATCCTTTAAACGAACTAGTTTAAAGGGGCTATTTCATAAAAAGGAACGATGGGTACTAGGTAAAGTTCTTTCGTTCATATAAATCCCTTAACTGTAGCTATTCCCCTTTGCTTCGTGCACATAGATGCTTTTGATCCAATCGTTTACATATATCTTAATGTTCATTGAACTAAAAGAAACTATAGTACTAAATGAATGAACTAGTCTCTTTTGAAGAGCGAAACGAAAATTATCGAAGCGCTTCAGGAACGAGATTTTCAAACTCTATAAAATATGTCGGCTTATTTTCCCAAAAATATGTTTATCCTATTTCATAATAAATTCCCAGAGCCTTAATTGTTAGTGCTCAGATTAAAAAAATAATTCAAATGTTGTAGTTTGGGCGCCGCAATCCTGATTATAACAAATTTTAGTATCAAACATAAACGAAACCACACACCCATATTCTATTTGTCGCTTCTTTGGGTAGAATTCCCGTAAATGTATCTAAACGTAAATCCGATAAGGCACGTGAAAAACTAAAGCCACGATTTATGGTTACTACACCCGGCCTCAATATATCCCACGTAGTATAATCCATCTGGTTGAAAGAGGAGGAGTAGGTTGCCGATGGAAAAAAGGAATAAATTTTGATAGAATAGAAGATTAGCCGAAAAGTTGATAGATATAGAAATGGAGTTGAACGAATTAAATGGGAATGCAGTGAAGTATGGACAATTATGAGGAAGTAAGAAGATGCGATGATTTGACAAAGAGTATATTGAGGAGAAGATTTTCTATAGATGGATTCTATTACTTTATACAAATATTTGTAAAAAGAGACCTGACATTCTAAACCTTGACATCAACATCAACGTTGTTTCTAGACAACGATAGATGGCATCCCAATCACCTAGGACAGATGAAATTTCAATTTCCAGTCCCGTCTTTACTGTTGTGAGGACATTTACACTAGAGTTCTGTTACACCATGAGTCCTGGATAAAAGTTTCACATGGTGTAACAACTTTTGTTTTAGATGTTCGGTCTCACTCAAAAGTACTGTTTGAAGATTTGAGGCGTATTGTGTCTTGGATGTCGAATTGCAGTAGATAGTGTACCATATTATCCCGGGTTTGAATTCCAGGGAATATTCTTTCTAATTGGTTTTCGAAAATGTGAAAAATGAGGCATTCAGCCCCCTCCAGATGAAATGTACCGAAGCCCTCTAACTTTCTTATACCAAATCTCGATCCCCAACATCACCACAAGATTATAACACATAAGAATGACAGGAGATAGCACCAACCAGATAAAAAATGTAACACTAAATAAACGAGGAGCCCGAGTACTGCAAACAAATCTTGGAGTTCCCATCTGCTGCAGAACAAATGTAGCACAAAGACCCAGCGAGTAAGATGGCAACGCTTTGTGAAAACCCCTGAATTTTTTATTTACCAACCTTGGTATCAATATCATCACATGAGAATAACCAAAATAGAATGAGAGGAGATGGCGTCACCCAGAGGAAAATGTCAACATAAAAAAGCTAGGATCTCAATTACTGCACAAAGACATTGTTTCTAGTCATCGATAGATGACAACTAGTGCGGATAACACACAATAGGAATGGCAGGGATTGTCTCATGTCTACATTATATAAGCAAGGACACCAACCACTACAAACGTCATGTTTCTAGGCAACGATAGATGACAGTCCTATCACCTTGGACAAATAACAGTTAATCAATTATCTATTCAGCTTGACTAAATCATCAGAACAATTAACTACTTTGCCGGAATAAAACAAAGATTAACGAAACTATAACAAGCGATGCTTTGTGGAAGCCGTGTTATATTCCGAAGGGGAGTAACATGAGGAAAATTATGTTCTGTATCAATAGGGGAGAGGGGGGCACCTTTGAACACTTTTTGCTTTCAAGCCTTATAAAATTTTTTATTTTATAATTTTCTTATAAATTTTAACTAATAGGTACATATGTAACCTTTAAAATGAATATACATATGACATACTATAAGCTTGATAAATATATTTTATTACTGTTTTAATGGACGAACTCAAAGTGTTCAAAACTGCCCCCCCAGGGGGGCAGCTTTGAACAGGGGTTGGCATTTTTGAACGACATGGTTTTTTACAGTGTTTATGTTCAAATATGTATGTATTTTATTCATACATATCAGAAATGCATTAATTCATTAAAAAATATATAAAAATGTTCAAAATTTAAAAAATTTATATCAAAAGTTATTAAACATAAAATGACTTAAAAACAAAAATTAATATGGTGAAAAATACAGTTAATTTCGTAATCTTATTTGCCCATTTGAAATTTTGATAAATCGAAGCGAAAAGTTAAAAAATCCTTTTTTTACCCGAGTTTAATTAGCATGTTCAAAGGTGCCCCACCCACGGCATTTTACGGAAATTTAAAATAACTTTTTTTTGTAATAAATATATATGAAAGAAATTACATTAGTTATGTTTGAAATGATTGTTGGAATGCAAAAAATTTGCTTGGCGAAGGAAAACAATCACAGAATTCTTCCTGCGCCTTTACAACCAAATGAATAAAAGTTTACAATGACACTGAGAAAACATGGTCACCCATGCATAATTTTTCGACAACTGAAAAATCAAGTCAAAGTGGTTTACGCATATAGAGAACAAGATTGCCATATACAAAAATGTGGTTGCGGGTCGGAAAAATATTAAACCAAGATTTTATGAGCGCTGTTCAAAGGTGCCCCACGTTCAAAGGTGCCCCCCTCTCCCCTATATCCGTAAATGGTTTTAAGTATGCGACAGGCGCTTTATATTCTATTTGGCAAAAAGCGGGGTCGGATTAATCAGTTTCGCCCCTAAATGGAGATAAAAGATAACAGAGAATAGGAATGGAGGTAGAATTGTTACCCTAAACAAGCATGTATACCATCCATTGCGCAATTCATGGAGGCATTGTTTCTACACAACGACAGATGGCAGTCTCATCACCTAGTACAGACAATTGCCTTTTGTAGTTGGATATTTATGGTTGGCAATTTAGTGTTCAGATTTAAGCAATAACGGAGGTTATTGATTAAATCTCCACCTGAAGAATCGCATTGAAATCTGGCAGGCAAAGTAAAATTTTAGTTCCTCAGTTCAAGAACTAAGAAAGAAATGGCATGACAACACAACAATATGGCAACGCTATATTATCAAGAACTAAAACCACTGCACAAATTTAAATTATATGTTATTACTAGGTAACGATAGAAGGCAGCTTCATTCCGGGTTGGAATCCCATGAATCAAAATGGTTTTTGAATATTTATCATCGGACGAAAGACATCCGAAGCCTTCTGATTTTCTAATAACCACCCTCGGCATAAATATTAATGTATTAGACAGAAGGTAGCGCCACCCAGACGAAAAAGGCATTCCCAAGGACTGCAAAAAATCGAGTATGCTTTGTTTCTGAGGCAGCCCCTTCTCCGGAATAAAACAATGATTAACGGAACTAACACAAGGAATTGCCCTGGCATAAACATTAACATATTAGACTGGAGATAGTGCCAACCTGACTAAAATGGCAACAATAAATAAGCAGGGACCGTAACCATTGCAAAGAATCAATTTTGCGTAGTTTCTAGGCGACGATAGATGGCAGGCTCATCTCCAGAATTAACGTTGGAACTAACACAAGGAATTGTCCGTGTGTTTAGTGGCGATGTTTTGTGGAAGCCCTATGCTTTCAAGAAGAGTAACAGGATAAAATTCCATTTGGAACCTACGGTTCTTTTATAGAAATACTAGTTACTGTACCTTTTCTGTGGGTCAAAATTATAGGTGTCCGTTATAATGTAGGCTTTGATTAATGGATTATGAACATATCCATGGAATTTAATCTAACCGAGATGTCAAATATTCATTTTAATGAGAAATCGACTGAAATTAATTCTTTAGCTGATTTGTATGGTAATATAGTGGTGGAACTCTGATCTGAATTGTAAAATAAACGTGACTTTCAACGAAATGTAACAGCGTCGATATGATCGTATCGTGATATTAAACATAACCATACAAATATTAATAGAACTTACCCTTTCTTGTAACATTTTAGCCAATTCTTTGTCTTGAGCTTCAATGGCCAGCATACGATCACGTTCTTCCAGGGTCATGCCATCGGTAACTTCCAGCTCTTGTAAGCGGCGAGCTAAGAGCTACATGAAATATTAGATCGGAATGAAATATATTTATATTGTAAAACTACTCAGCATATGTACTACTCTGGCAACTTTTTATTCGAACGAAGTAAATTATCAGAACACTTTCGAAGTTCCTGACTCGGAAATCAGTCACTTGAATGACATATTTTAAAATCTGGATCTTGGATAGGATATTATTTTCCTCTGTCCATTGAAATTTTGTACTTCGTACGAATACTTAGTTGTCAGGGTGTGTTTGTCGAACTAACTCCTTACCTCATCCTTTTGTTCCTGTTTCAATTTGGCATTGATCTCCTTTATCTCACCCATGGGCAAACCGATTTCCTTTAATTCCTTATAATCACATGGATCCACATACAATTCAATATCATCGGCATGCTCCTGCATTTGACGTTCTTTGGCCACAGCACCTTGGCTATTGTTATTACCCACCAAACTGTCATATTTTTCCGGTGAGAGTTTCTGAAATTTCACATGCTCATTCTTTAGTAAATTGTCATTTGAGGGTGACGACATTAGACGACTGGACATGGAAATTTTGCTACTGCTATTGTACGACTGATGATGAGTCGAGTGCGAATGTGCTGGTGATGATGAATGGTGTGATGAGGCGCTATTGTGTGATTTGTGCGAATCAAGGGTATCCGTCGAGGATTTATTCGTCATATCGTAACGTCTAATGCTGTCGCAAACATCCGAATATTCAATCACTTCCTCAACATCGGGATGATGGAAGGAGACATGGGGTGATGGAGGTGTGCCACCATTCATGGGGGGCAGTGGTGGTGGAGTGTGCATAAAGGCATGTGTATTATTGGGTGTCTTGGGTGTAAGGGGTGTATGTGGACTTGTGGGTGTTAGTGGTTGTTGTTGTTGTGGATAGCCATTATTGTGACCCGGCAACGGCATATTTAATTGACTCTCAATTACATGATGACGTCTCGAGGCAGACGATGATGAGGACAATGAATTCATGGGCGATCCTCCCTTGGCCGGTACTCCAGCACGATAGGTAAACGATGGCGATAATGAGGATGTTGGTGATGGTGATGACTGCTGTGAATGAAAGTGTAATTGTTGGTGTTTTGACATTAGCTGAGTTGGTGACAATCGATGTTGATCACCACCTACCACTAAATTATTGATATTGCTACTACAACTGGTGTTGGTGTGGGTTGGCGACCGCTGCTGTTGTGCTGGGGTAGCATGCAATGCTAGACCAACATAACAACCATCCGTTGTGGCGGCGGCGGTGGTGGTGTTGGTATTGGAGGTGAAATGATGTTGTTGCAATAGTATAGGAAATTGTGGACTGTGTGGATTACGATGGCCACTGGGTGGTGATATGGACTGTTGTTGTTGCTGTTGTAACAAAGTGGAACTTTTAGCTGGTCGGGGTGGTGGTACCTTGTTTTTGTCACGTGCCGATGGTGGGGGTACAGGTGGTAAATTCACATAGATGGCCTAAAATTGAAAAGTACACACAATTACACACATACATATTTACAAAAATTATATTTCAAACATACCTGCATATCCTGTGCAATCCGTTCACTTTCCAATTCTCTCAAACGTTGTTCTTGCAAATCTCTTTCCAATTTTTCGGCAATTTCTTTGGCCACACGTTTGTCATATTCCTCCCTGAAAAGGTGAGAGTTTTGTAATTAATATTTAATTTGGAAATTCCTGGTTTTAACCTCCCACTACTTACTGTTCCTTTAATTTACGCCGATAGGCCTCGGCTTGTTTTTCAGCCGTCTCCTTTTCTTTGATCTGTTCCTGCAAGGCTGTGGGGAAATCTTCTCTTACCACAGCATTGCGTATACGATTGCCTTTATAAAAATCGGTAACTAAGGAGGAGAGATTTTTTATTAGTATCGGATATCCTTTTTTGAGGTTATGTCATGGTACTTACTCTCTTGGGATTGAAGTTTATAGGCCAAGGCACCATCTTCACGCACCAGCCATTCTTTGCAAACTGTAAGTAAAAACAAAACAAAAAATTAGTTTTACCAAAAAACAATATTTTTTTCAAATCGAGATGTACAGGAGTCAAAATTTCTAACAACGGCTAAAACACCAACCGAAGGCTTTGGTGCATGCACATCCTCCAGTAGAGATAAAGAAGGAAACCTGGTGACAGATACAGGATCTGGAAGGAGCATTTTGAAAAACTTCTGGTATCAAATAGTAGCAGAGAAGTGGATACCCCAGAACCAATAATAGATGACGGTATAGAGTGTATACCACCTAGCCAAGAGGAAGTCAGAATAGCAATCAATAGGCTGAAGAATAATAAAGCAGCAGGTGCCGATGGGTTACAAGCTGAACTATTCAAGACTGGTGGTCAGATGCTGGTAAGGAGCATGCACCAGCTGATTAGTACAATTTGGTTAGAAGAATGTATGCCCAATGATTGCAACCTCAGCATCCTGTGTCCCGTGTACAAAAAAGAAGACAAAGAAGAATCCTTCCTATCGCATATTAAGTGCTATCCAGTGTACTGTGTGAAGGACTGAAGCTAATGGTCAATGTCATTATTGGACCATACTAATGCGGCTTCAGACCTGGCAAATCCACCATTGACCAGATTTTCACTCTGCGCCAAATCCTGGAAAAAACCCACGAAAAACACATCGACACATTCCACCTATTTGTCGACTATAAAGCCACATTCGACCGCCCTAATTGTTCAGAGGTGTTTAAAGCCATGTCTGCGTTTGGCATTTCTGCAAAATTAATTCGACTATGCAGGATAACTTTAACTGACACAAGATCAGCAGTTAAAGTCGGAAAATACCTCTCGAAGCCCTTTAATATCGATCGAGGCTTCAGACAAGGTGACACTTTGTCGTGTGATCTTTTTAACATTCTGCTGGAAAAGGTCATAAGAGGGAGGCAAAGGTGAACAGAAATGGTACTCTGTACACCAAACAACACATATTACTCGCCTACGCCGATGACATCGACATAATGGGTCGAACACTGAGAACGGTAACAGCCACCTTTGAACAAGGAGCGGTAACAGCCACCTTTGAGAAGGAGACTGCAAAATTGGGTCTGGCAGTAAACGGCGAGAAGACCAAGCTGATGGTATCAACGCGCAAGACGTCCAGTAGACTCGGACCAACTGTGGAACTTGAGAACTACAGCTTCGAGGTAGTCAAAGATTTTATGTACCTTGGTACCGCCATAAACACAACGAATGACATCAGTTTTGAAATTCGGAGAAGGATAGTGATGGCTAACAGATGCTACTATGGTCCAAGTAAGCAGTTTAGAAACAATGCCACCTCCCGCCAGACCAAACTCAGCAGATGAGGCATGTCTTGGGGTGTTTGAAAGAAAAATACTCCGAAAAATCTACGGGCCGATCTGCGTCGACGGTGAATATCGGCGTGGAATGAACAACGAGCTTCACGATTTATTCGCGGACATCGACATAGTCAGTCGTATTGAGCTGCAGCGACTACGATGGCTAAACCATGTGGAGCGAATGAATGAGAATGTCCCAGCTCAAAAGGCATATAAAAGCGAGCGTACTGATGGTTCCCGTAGAAGCAGAAGGCCACGAATCAGATGGAAAGACCAAGTAGAAAATAACATCTTGGAACGTGGTCTTTCAAATTGGAGGAGATGCGCACAAAACCGACGCGCTTGGAAATCTTTTTTAAGCTCGACTTATGGAACAACCGTTCTGTAACAAGCCAGCTAAGTAGATAAAGTATATAAGGAGTGGATTTTTTAGGAATATTTTTTCAAGGCCTAATATAAGGCGTGGATTTTTTTAGGAATATTTTTTCAAGGCCTAATATAAGGCCTGGATTTTTTAGGAATATTTTTTCAAGGCCTAATATAAGGCGTGGAGTTTCTTAGGAATATTTTTTCAAGGCCTAATATAAGGCCTGGATTTTTTAGGAATATTTTCTCAAGGCCTAATATAAGGCCTGGATTTTTTAGGAATATTTTCTCAAGGCCTAATATAAGGCCTGGATTTTTTAGGAATATTTTTTCAAGGCCTAATATAAGGCGTGGAATTTTTAGGGATAATGTTGTCAAGGCCTAATATAAGGCGTGGATTTTTTAGGAACATTTTATCAAGACCTAATATAAGGCGTGGATTTTTAGGAATATTTTTTCAAGGCCTAATATAAGGCGTGGATTTTTTAGGAATATTTTTTCAAGGCCTAATATAAGGCGTGGATTTTTTAGGAATATTTTTTCAAGGCCTAATATAAGGCGTGGATTTTGTTAGGAATATTTTTTCAAGGCCTAATATAAGGCGTGGATTTTTTAAACATATTTTTTCAAGACCTAATATAAGGCGTGGATTTTTTAAACATATTTTTTCAAGGCCTAATATAAGGCGTGTTTTTTAGGAATATTTTTTCAAGGCCTAATATAAGGTGTGGATTTTTTAGGAATATTTTCTCAAGGCCTAATATAAGGCATGTATTTTTTAGGAATATTTTTTCAAGGCCTAATGTAAGGAGTGGATTTTTTAGGAATACTTTTTCAAGGCCTAATATAAGGCCTGGATTTTTTAGGAATATTTTTTAAGGCCTAATATAAGGCGTGGATTTTTAGGAATATTTTTTCAAGGCCTAATATAAGGCGTGGATTTTTAGGAATATTTTTTCAAGGCCTAATGTAAGGAGTGGATTTTTTAGGAATATTTTTTCAAGACCTAATATAAGGTGTGGATGTTTTAGGAATATTATTTCAAGGCTTAATATAAGGTGTGGATTTTTTAGGAATACTTTCTATGGCCCCAGTTTAAATTGCAATTCCAGCTTTTTAAACAATCGCTTATTAATAATTTTGATTAACAATGACATACATACGTACATATCAAACTGACAGGCCATCATCATTATCATGTGAGTCTATTATAACAATTGTTAATAATTAATAAAAAATACAATGATCTGTCACAATTCAAAACCTCAAACTATTGCGGCTTCTCTTTGGAATAGAATTAATTAATAAATAGAAATGTTTCGATGAAAAACGATAACAACAACAATAAAAACAAAAAACTACTCCCTCACGTTTTTTCTGATGATGACGATCAATGATATTATTCTTCTTCTATAAAGATAAGGGTAAAATTTAGGACGAAAAAAAAAAACAAAATTGTTCTAATTGGAAATAAAGAAAGAAGAAAGAGTTAAGGGAGGGGGAGAAAAGTAGGCGGCGGTATAAACCTCCATCACTATCATGCTGAGTTCCAAACAACCAGCTGTCGTTTATAATCATTTATATTCATATGAAAATGCTAATTTATATTGATTTGTAATGGAACAGTGGGGACAAAGAGAACGAAAAAAATTAAATACAACAAAAATGTAAACAAAAACAACAAATCAATTTAAAATGGAATCTAAGAAATTTGATACGAAATGCCCTAGAAAAAATGTTGTTGTTATTACAACAACAAACTCATCATTAGCAGTTCATAAGTGCGACTTACATTGAGTAGATCGGTAAATTCGATCTTCAAAAGGTCGTTGGTTGGTCATTGCACTTGAAAAAGAGAGGAGTGTACGAGAACACTCAATTGGTGCCGTGTTGCAGTGGAAACAATTGATTAACACTATTCGATATTAAGAAGAAGCAGAAGATATAGAAGAAAAAATAACTTCGTCACTTTGTTGTCGATGTTTCTTATTGGGTACAAATGTACCTAGAATTTGCACAGTGGGTTGAAAGAAGCACAACATAAGAAATAAACAAGAGAATGAGCCTGAGAATTGAATATTTCCTATAGAAATTACAATTCAGCCAGTCTGAATTGAAGATTTCCTATAGATATCACTATTCAGCCAATCTGAATTGAAGATTTCCTATCGGAATCACTATTCAGGCAGGTTGAATTGAAGATTTCCTATAGAAATCACTATTCAGCCAGGCTGAATTGAAGATTACCAACAGGAATCACCATTCAGCCATGCTGGATTAAAGATTTCCTATGTAAATCAGTATTCAGGCGGGATGAATGAGAGATTTCCTATAGAAATCACTATTCAGCCAGGTTGAATTGAAGATTTCCTATAGAAATCACTATTCAGCCAGGCTGAATTGAAGATTTCCTACAGAAATCACCATTCAGCCAGGCTGAATTAAAGATTTCCTATAGAAATCACTATTCAGCCAGGCTGAATTAAAGATTTCCTATAGAAATCACTATTCATCCAGGCTGAATTAAGGATTTCCTATTGAAATAACTATTCAGCCAGGCTGATTTAAAGATTTCCTAAAAAATCACTATTCAGCCAGGCTGAATTAAAGATTTCCTATAGAAACTACTATTCAGCCAGACAGAATACAAGATTTCCTATAGAAACTACTATTCAGCCACGCTGAATGAAAGATTTCCGATGGAAATTACTATTCAGCCAGGCAAAATTGAAGATTTCCTATAAAGATCACCATTCAGCTAGGCTGAATTGAAGATTCCCTATAGAAATCACTATTCAGTCAGGCTAAATTAAAGATTTCGTTTAGAAGTCACTATTCAGCCAGGCTGAATTGAAGATTTCCTATTGAAATCACTATTAAGCCAAGCTGAATTAAAGATTTCCTAGGAATACTTTATTCGGATCACCTAATTTAAAAATGTTTCTTATACATTTTTAGATATTTTATATCCCACTGTGCCCTGAATAAATGGCCATCATATATAACCCTATAAGGCTTCAACATTTGGAAAGAAGAGACCACCTCTCAAGTACGATTACGGAATTTTGTAGTATTGCTGCTGCTGTTGTTGTTGTTGATTATTACAACAAAGCCAATTGATATGAAATACTTTTTGACAAATATTGACATAAAAGAAATTCAATATCCATGATAAATTGATTTAGAATCGAAAAAAATACAACAACAAAGTACGAATGCATGAAAAATTCCAACAGAAATATAATTGAAGCGTTCACTTGAGTTGTAAGAAGATCATGCAAGGGCCAACCTTTTGTG